GTACAGGAATAGGTGTCACAAAATTGTGGAAAATGTGGAAAATGTGTATATAAAAATAACAGAAAATAAATCCTTACAACAATCGTTAGGTATGATAAATCCATATGTAATATTGAATGAGTAAATTGATTGTTAGTTTTATTTTAAATCATAAGTTTATTTTAAATCATAAATCTTATTGTTGTCAAATTTTAGACTGTTCCTAAAAAACTGTCATAATATATTATTCACGCTTACAGACAAATTATTTGCATGGGATATTCGATTACTCTGGGGGTCTAAATTTGTTTAAAAAATATAGTTTAAAAAAACTAAAAAACACGCTTTTGAAGCACATCGAACTAAAAAGTTAAAAATAATAATTTTAGTTTAATGTGCTTTAAAAGCGTGTTTTTTAGTTTTTTTAAACTATATTTATTAAGAATCATACTGTGAGCAAAATGATAGTTTTGCCATTATTTTGTCTAGACAACATAATAAGTAGGGTGTCGTTATGCTTTATAAAAGTGTATGATGCGTATTGATGTATTACAAGTTTTATCTTAGTAGCTCTCACTAGAGGAGCACGTTGACCGATGGTTCTAAGAATTTTATCGACGGCGTTTCTACTAGTTCTACTGATGTGATTATACTGTAATTTTTGACGGGATAATTTTCGTTATAAAGACACGTTAAAACGCTGTAGTATACACATGATCGACGTTCGCGTTTAAAACCGTCGTGTTTTTAAAAACGCGAAATCGCGCGATTATACGCCTAGTGTGTAAGTCTCTTTAGTCAAATCAAAATAGTTCTAAGTTACCCAGCTATTAAAATATTCGACTGCCATGGCCGTATATATTCATTGTCTTATTTTATTATATTAAAACTAATTGAAAATCACTTTTAATAGTAAAAATGTTTTGTGGCCAGGGCTTATTTATGAAGGGGACTCGAGAGATGCGAGCCGCCCCTCAAAAATTTACGCGACCACCAAATTTTTTACCAAAAATATGACTTTTAGAATGGTTATAAGCAAATAAAAAAATTATTATCATGCATCATTTCAAACATTTAGTTTATAATATAAATAACATATACTATATGTATATACTATTCATATACGCTATCGGGACTTGACCTATTAATATTTTTAACTAAAACAAATTAAATACCTAGTTTAAAATATATTTATTAACGAATTATTATATTTAAATCTGTTAAAGCTTTAATGGTTTGTTGTATTGTATATCGATAATTCGCGAAATCTATTAAAAAATTATCAAATTTCGGAGAAGATGATTATTGTAGTAATATATTATCCGATGTCAAAGTATGTAAATGTCGGAGCATTATCATTTCGTAGCAAAGATATCTTCCCTATTGTATTTCTTAAAATATATTTAAATAAACACGAAACATAAGAATTAAAATTCTTATTTTCTTAATCTTAATCTTATCGCAGCACTTAAAATAAAAACTACTTATCATAAAAACTGAGTTCAGAGGTTCTAATGACAATTTTATTAACATTTTGTTTAGTTTATAATTTATACCATAAATAATCATAAAATTTTTAAAGTTATCAAACTATTTATTAATTCAAGACATTTAAAAAAAAAATTATATGCTCATTTAGTTATGAATTATTTTTGAATAATCGTAAGCATAAGCGTAGAAGGTTCAATTTTTGGGAGGGCTAAATTTAATTCTTCCCAAAAAATAATTTTTACAATACATATGATTTTGCTAAATTTCTGTGGAGGTGTTAATTGTAAACTGGGTGGGAGTAAGCCCCATAACTATTTCTTTTTTTCAGTTATCATGTCTTGTACCAATAACTTACTAAATAATATAATTTAACTAATATTGGCACTAAAATATCTAACATTAAACATTTTATGCATTTTTCAGCCATCAACATAAACATAAATTTTTTTTTTCAAATTAGAAAAAATAATACATACAGTGAGTCAAGTAAATATTCGGACATTGTCTAGAAAATTTGGCTTGCAAAACGCCATTATCTTACAGGTTTTATGTATGATCAACACCATTAGAAAAATGTTTAAACGAGTGATTTAATCATATTTAAAGGTCTGTAAGACCTTAACAATTCAACAGACAAATTATTTTTTCTAGATGATGTCCGAATATTTCCTATATAACAAAAAATTGCTGTCATTCAAATACACCGCACTTGTACAATTTATACATGTATAACATTATTTACATTAAGTGGGATGTAAGATTTTATAACTTTTCTTAATTAATATTAAAAAAATATAATATCTCGCAAGATTTTTAAGTGAAATGTATTATTGATTCTAAACTGGTGGTGTTCAAGATACAAGTAATTCAACAGATAATTTTGACGAAAGATTGCTTAGATTTATTGATGAGTTTTTTTGAAAGAACATGTTGAATACATGTGTAATTCTATTTGGTTTTATTTTATTTTTCTACTATAAGAAAATTATTATTCAGAGACAAGATGCCGATAAGTCAGTCTTATACTAATTGACAATATTCTTATCAAAATAAAATTTACACAACCCCATAAAACCTTAAACCGACTTGTATATTTATTTATATAAGCAGGGTTCAGGATTTTATGAATTTATAAAGTTCATTTTAATAACCCTGAGTCTTTTATTATAAATAGATATTCATGTATGTTTTTCTTAACACTAAACTGTGTATAATAATTAGAAAAATAATATAATCATTATGCCATGGCATCTAAATAATCCAAGTCATTGGATTATTGCTATTATTAAACCTGAATCAAAAATTTGTTACATCATGGATCCATTTTGTCCGACTTTAAACCTACAGAAAACAGTAATGTTCGAAAGTATGATGTGAGATTCCAAAAACTGAAAAAAGGGTTGCAAAAACATTGTACCTATGATGGAAAACAGTTTCCAGATATATTATGGGTACAATATGAAGACAAAACCGTACCAATACAAGATGATGGTTATAATTGTGGAGTTTATGTGATTTATTATGCAATAACCAAAATGAATGGCTTAAATTTTGAGAATGTGTTTAACCCCGATGCTTACAGAGATGAATTAAAAAAATTACTGTTAGAAAATTCAGGTGATATGACAAACATATGCCTTTATTGTCAAAAACACGAGGAAAAACATAAAGGAAATTATATACAATGGGTGTCATGCAATAAATGCTGTAGATGGATAGCGATTGAATGTATTACTGAAAAGTATAGATTAAAAGATTACAGCAAAAATTATTTTTATTGCATATTGAGTTAAAATAAATAATATTAATAATTATTATATTATAATAACTATCATAATCAAGTTATAAAATATGAAAAAGTAATAATATATTTTAACTTATACACATTATACTATAATGATAATTATAATTATTATAATTGCAGAAATTTAGTATAATATTTATAAAAATTATAAAATTTTCACTAGATGGTTTCTTCAACCATATTTAACTTTGAATTGTAATAAGCCTATTGTACGAATGTTATATACAGATTATATATTTTCTAAAAAAAAATTGTTAATACTATGCAAAAAATGTCCATCAAATATTAAAAAATTTGTTTATTTTAAATTTATAGAAAGGTTAATATCTTTATAATTTTATTTCGAACCCCAATATGTAAATGATTATTATAATGTAACTATTATTGTGAATGTATAAGCCAACAATAATATACTCATTCAGGTACCAAAAATAAGTGAGAATATACGTATTAGAGAAGTTTCAAAACTAATTCATTATACATGTAATTTGTATTTTCAGATGCCGAAAAATTTGTTGACACTCATTGTAACCACACCTATTTAGAGCCATCAAACAATCGTTAGGCTTTTAGTAGACAGTCCGAAGTCTGGTATTCTAATTTTAATTCAAGAACTACGTTCAAAAATTATTTAGAAACAACAAGTGGGACGGCATTGAGTGTTATACAAAGTCATCAAATATTCTACCCAAACACATGAATTATTTTAATTAAAGAAATAATGTCCTATATTGTTAATATGTTCAAGACAAGAATCTTAATACAACAAAATTTACAATCTATATAAATACATAATAAAATAAAAAAATAAATCTTCTTCTTTCTTCTTTATTGTCTTTGTATTCTACATCTTTTTATTATAATATCTAAGTGCCCAAAGACGTCCATGTGAATGAATTGTGCATATGAATGTTCCAGCAATTTTTCGTTGTGTAATAATAACCTAATGAATTAATTATTTTTTCTCTATTTAGCTATTGATGTAAATATTGAAAATTAGTTGATATATTATGTGATTGTGGTTTATTAATTTTGTGTATCATATATTTTTTACTTTTTATATATTATTGCTGTATAATATAAATGTATATTGTTATTATATTTAAATTGTGTATTTTGTTATCCATTATATATTGTGATTCTTTGTTTAGTATTGTATGTCTTTTTTTGAAGTGCCCTCTAGTGGTGTTAATTTTAAACTGAAATTTCATATGAACAATGATTTAGTTCTTTATGTAGTAATAAGAAATTTGGTTTTATAATTTCACTTTATATTCAGGGCTCCTAATAGTGTAACGTAGTAACAAATATTTGGTATCTTAGTTGTTACCGTATTTTTAAACTGATAAGAAATTGCTAGCTAGAAATTGCTCACTTCACGCCCGTATTTGGAGGTGGTTTGAACCCTCAAAACCACCTCTTAGGCACGCCCGTGCAGTTACTCGTATTCATTTTTTAATTTTGAGCATTTAAAGTAATTTAATGATGAAAAATTATGAAATAGATATTTTCATGATAACTTAAAAATAAATAAAAAAAAATACTCAGTGTTTTCTATATTAATTGAATATAATATCTTATAATATAATATGAACATTTAAAATTAGACAAAACTAAAAATATTATTTAATAATAAAATTACATTCACGAAGATACTTAAAAATTAATTCATGAAAAACGTATTAAAATTCACATTGATAATAATTAATGATTAAAACTAATTGATGATTAAAATACAGTAGTATTTTGTTATGTTATGGAAAATTTTATAAGATTAATATTTAATAGATAAGAAAAAAGTTGATGTCATATATTAGTTTTGATAATAGTTACAAAAATAGTATTATTTAAGAAAATAACATGTCCTGAAATACTTAATTAGATGTACATAAAAATTCAAGTTAATTTATTTCAAAAATAATGTGACAATAGCCAACTTAAATGAAAAACTAATTATATATCAACAGAAAATTAATTGAGACAGCCATTTTCGGTAGCATATTTGATTATATTTATATAACCTTTTTGAGTAGCTTCATAAATGGTACCTCTACTCCATGGACAATAGTTTTCATGGGCAAATTTTAAGCAAAAAAATTGACCATTTGCAGCAGCAAGTCTTGTTGTCCCTTCGTCCCACACACACCCATTTAAATGACTATATTTTAGACAGTCTAAGTGGCCATTTGCAGCAGCTCCACTCATTGTCCCTTCGTCCCATTTACATCCATTTTTATGTGCATATACCAAAATGTCAATATGACCACTAGCAGCAGCTTCCCTTGTTGTACCTTCGTCCCAGTCACAACCATTTTCATGGGCATATTTAATGCAGTCTAAATATCCATTCGCTGCAGCCAATCTCATTGTACCTTCAATCCAATGACATCCATGTTTACGGGCGTATTTTAAACAATCTAAATTACCATGCACAGCTGCTACAGCTATCGTATCTTTATACCAATTACATCCGTTTTCATGAGCATATATCAAGCAGTCTAAATAGCCACTTGCTGCAGCAGCTCTAGTTGTGCTTTCATCCCATAGACATCCATTAATATGAGCATATTTTAAACATTTTAATTTACCATTAATAGCAGCTGCTTCAGTCGTACTTTCATCCCAAGGACATCCATTATCATGAGCATATTTTAAACATTCTAATTTACCATTAAAAGCAGCTGCTCCTATAGTGATTTTATTCCATGGACATCCATTATCATGAGCATATTTTAAACATTCTAATTTACCATTAAAAGCAGCTGCTCCTGTAGTTCTTTCATTCCATGGACATCCATTATCATGAGCATATTTTAAACAATCTAATTTGCCATATATTGCAGCTGCTTCTGTTGTAAATTTATCCCAAGGACAATTATTTTTATGTAAATATTTTAAAATTTCTAGATTACCTTTTATAGCAGCCCGAATAGTTGCATTTCTATTCAATTCGCATAAATTTTCGTGGGCATATTTTAACATTTCTAGATTACCGTTTTGAATAGCACTAAACACAATATTGATTTGATTCCATTCACAGCCATTTTTATGAGCATATTTTAAGCATTCTAAATAACCATATTTAGCAGCAGCATCAGTCGTGCTTTCATCCCATGGACATCCATGATCATGAGCATATTTTAAACATTTTAAATGTCCTTTAGAAGCAGCTGCTTCTGTTGTTTTTTTATCCCATGGACATTCATTTTCATGAGCATATATTAAACATTCTAAATGTCCATTAGCAGCAGCTGTTTCTGTTGTCCTTTCATCCCAAGGACATTTATTTTTATGTAAATATTTTAAACATTCTAATTTACCATATTGAACAGCAGCATCAGTCGTGCTTTTATCCCATGGACATCCATGATCATGAGCATATTTTAAACATTTTAAATGTCCTTTAGAAGCAGCTGCTTCTGTTGTTCTTTCATCCCATGGACATTCATTTTCATGAGCATATATTAAACATTCTAAATGTCCATTAGCAGCAGCTGTTTCTGTTGTCCTTTCATTCCAAGGACATTTATTTTTATGTAAATATTTTAAACATTCTAATTTACCATACGAAGCAGCCCCTTCTATTGTTCTTATATCGCATGGACATTCATTTTCATGAGCATATTTTAAACAATCTAAATTACCATATTTAGCAGCAGCATCGGTCGTGCTTTTATCCCATGGACATCCATGATCATGAGCATATTTTAAACAATTTAAATGCCCGTTAGAAGCAGCTGCTTCAGTCGTACTTTTATCCCATGGACATTTATTTTTATGTAAATATATTAAACAGTCTAAATGTCCATTAGAAGCAGCTGCTTCTGTAGTCCTTTTATCCCATGGACATTCATTTTCGTGAGCATATATTAAACATTTTAAATGTCCGTTAGAAGCAGCTGTTTCTGCTGTCCTTTCATCCCAAGGACATTTTTTTTTATGTAAATATATTAAACAGTCTAAATAACCATTAGCAGCAGCTGCTTCTGTTGTCCATATATCCCATGGACATCCATGATTATGAGCATATATTAAACAATTTAAATGCCCGTTATAAGCAGCTGCTTCTGTTGTCCATTTATCCCAAGGACATTTATTTTTATGTAAATATATTAAACATTCTAAATGTCCATTAGCAGCAGCAGCCTGTGTTGTTTCTTCGTTCCATTCACACCCATTATCATGAGCATATTTTAAGCATTCCAAATTACCGTTTTCAGCTGCTACAATAGTCGTATCATCATCCCATTCACATCCATTTTCATGAACGTAAATTAACAATTCTAAATTTCCATTTTCAGCAGCTTTTCTAGTAACACCTTTTTCATATTGACATTTTACATTATTATTTGAAAATTGAATTGCTGTATAAAAACAATTGTTTATTAATTTTTGCTTATAAACGTTATAACATATAACGTTTATTAAAACGTTTATAAATAAAATGTTTAATAATCTAGATTATTAAATAAGTATATCTAATTAAGAGAGAGAGAATTTAAATAATATTTTCTTTCATAAAGTTAATAAAGTTAAAATTATTATATACTGAATATCACCCTATTACTCGTGACATTGCATTTACTAACACCCTGCATGTTGTATTCCTAATATTATAATTTTAGCTTCGATGCGAAGCTGAGAAGGTATTGATTTTACTATGATGTGTTTTTTTTTTTTTTTTTTTTTTTTTTTTTT